GAGGTCAACTCTGAGGAGAGGGGAAAGAGAAATGGATTTGATGGATATTAGAAATCTGGCTCCTAAGAGAACCCGGGCTTTAGGATGAGGGACGGTGTGGGGTGGGGTGGATCGTGCAGGGGAGAAGCAACACAGCGAGAAACAGGAACAAGATAGTCCCATGATCAGGTAAAGAAGGAAAGGAGGATTGAAACAGCAGCTGATCAGGCAATCCCAGGAAGAAAGTTGCAAAAGAACACAGCCCCCAGAAGCCATCATCTGCACACACACCAGCCACACTGCTGGGCTCTTTCTCAGGAGCTGCCTGTTCCACAGAATGTCCCGTGGCTGCCAATAGTGTCCTGGGGTGGCTCAAAGGAATAGTTCCTTTCTGTGCAGCTGAGCAGGAAGCTGCTGCATCATTTAGTGAGGCTCCTCAGTAGGGTTCCCAGATAAAATACAGGAGGCCTGGTCAAATTTGAATTTCATATAAATAATGCATTTTTTAGCGTAAGTATGTCCCATGCAATATTCGGGACATACTTACACTAAAAAAAAAGTGTTTCTTATCTGAAATTCAAGTTTAACTGGATCACCTGTGTTTTCCTTTGCTATGTCTGGCAACTTTTCTCTGAGGAAGGAACCCTGCTTTGGCCCTTGAGTCTAGCTTCCCCTTAGCCTAGCTCATTCCTTAAATCAGAGAACAGACTTCTCCGGTGTAGCGGGATGTTGAGTCTCTCAGATCCAGGCAGGTGAGAAATCCGCACGTGTTACTCCATCCTCCACTTCAGCTCTGTTCACTCCCCGAGTGTCCAGCACACACCCAGCCCTGGACGTCTTGCCTACCCTCCTGGCTTCCCCTGTTGAGTCTGAAAACACTCTCCCATTCTTTTTTTTTATTTTTTAATTTCAAAATATTAAGGGGGGTACAAAGGTTTTAGGTTACATGGATTGCTTTTGTAATGCGTGAGTCCTGGCTAAAGGTGTGCCCGTAACCCAAATAGTGCATATGGCACTGTTGGGAGGTTTTGCCCCTCCCCATTCTTAACTGTCAAGTCACACCACACACTGGCCCTCTGGCAATCACTGGGATCCCACCACCCCACCCACCACCATGCCTGTTCAAATGCAAGTGCCTGAAGCAACTGAAGAGTTGTTAGAGACAAAACAGTAACAACCTGGGTGGAACTGGAGAAGTTCTTCTTAATGAATTATCGCCAAGAATGGAAAAACAAACGCCACATGTACTCAGTGCTAAACTAGAACTAATCGATCACCACTTATGTGCACATATGGAAGTAAAACTCAAGGGAAATCAAGCAGGTGAGACGGGGAGGTGGGGATGGGTAAATTCACACCTAACGTGTACAATGCACACTGGCTGGGTAAAGGGCACACTTATAACTTTAACTAAAACTGTACAAAAGCAAATAATGTAACCAGAATGTATGTACCCCCATAAAATTCTGAAATTAAAAAAAAATGGTTTACAACTCACTTTCCCTAACTCATTACTCAAGATGGATCAATAATTTAATACAATTAATGATGCAGCTTTCAGAAGACACAGGTCTTTCTTAGCATTGGCCTCTGATCACATGCACCATTTATCTGAGAATCAATTTGCTTTGATGAGGGATCGTGTCCCCCTCACCACTGTGCCCCCCCTCCCATCCCCAGCCAGAGGATGCTTTTTGGAGGTTGATAGAAGAAATAACTGTCATCTCTTAAACACTCAACGTTCATAAAATGGGAAACACAGCACCTGTTTCATCCATTTGACAAGGTCAGTTGAGATCACTGGTACGGGATAATAGCTTTGTAACCTCTAAAACTTTGTGAAAACAATCAGGTAACATCCTATAAACAAAGCAAAAATTATCACCTAGTAGCAAATATCAGTTCCTATCTCCCTGGTCTAAAGACATGGCTCAAAGGTCTAAACCAGGAGACTATTGATCAACAGTTCTGGTTCCCAGCTGTTATTTAAATATATGTTTTAACAATCAACCAGAAGAATGTGAACAATCGTGGACATGTAGGTAAATGGATTTTTTTGCTTAAAACAGATAAATCAGGAACACTGTACAATTTTAAAACAAAAACGGAATTCCGTTTTACATAACCACTGTTTTCCTACTCAAAGAAGCATCTGGTTGTAAAGAATAGAAAGGAGAACAAGTTGGGAAGGTACAGGGGGATCTTGTGGACCCAACCCCAGGAAGGACAAATAGACCTCAGGAGATATCTGAGATCATTGGACAAATACTTTAAGTCTACCTCTTTTTCCCCAAGGTCAATTGGAGTTTAAGATCCACCCATTTTCTTTATTTAAAATGCTACTTCTGGGAGACCAACGCTGGAGGATTGCTTGAACTCAAGAGTTTGAGACCAGCCTGAGCAAGAGTGAGACCCCCATCTCTACAAAAAACAGAAAAATTAGCCACTTGTGACAGTTCACACCTATAGTCCCAGCTACTTGGGGCTGAGGCAGGAGAATCGCTTGAGCCCAGGAGTTTGAGGTTGCTGTAAGCTATGATAACACCACTGCACTCCAGCCTGGGCAACAGAGTGAGACCATGTTGTCTCTAAAAAAAAAAAAAAAAATTAGCTGGGCATAGTGGTGTGCACCTGTAGTCCCAGCTATTAGGGAGGCTGAGGGCTCCGAGTAGCTTGAGCCCAGGAGTTGGAAGTTGCAGTGAACTTCGATGACGCCACTGCTCTCTACCTAGGGTGGCAGAGTGAGACTCTGTCTCAAAAATAAAATAAAATAAAATGTTCCCTTTCGTCCTTTTTTCCTCCTAACTCCGACTCATCTTTTAGATGTTGACTATTTTTTAAAACGGCTCTCCAGGATCCCCAGAAATACACCAGGCCCCTGCTGTGTGTTCCCACCGTGCCCTATACTCAGTCTTCTTAACATTTATATCTCCTAGGTTGCTTGTGTCTGTCTCCCCACTAGACCAGCCAGGATGAGGGATCTTATCTCTCCCACTCCTCACCTGCGGTCCCAACCTGAGTATACTTCCTGGAGGCTGATGGAAGGAATCACTGTCAACTCTTGAACACTCAGCATCCTCCAGGTGAGCTGTGCCTTACCAGGTGCTTGTGATCTGGAACAAAGCAAGCTACCAACCAGTGGAGACACACACAGGGACTGGGTGGGGGGTTCCGGAGCCTCACTCAGAGACATGAGCCCTCGTTCTCATCACAATAGTCCAGTTTTCCTGGTCCCATTGTGTCCTAAGGTTCGGCAGCTGTGATCTGACGGAAGGAATACAGACGTCCCTGGAATCAGCACACATGGGCTCTTGTCCTCACCGTGCTCCTTCCTGGCTCAGTGGTGACAGCCAAGTCTTTTTAATGCTCTGAACCTTAGTTATCCCTAATAATAATAATGCAAGCCACTTACTGAGCAAGACTCTCGGAATAAACTGTGTCTAATCCTTAAAGATGAAGAAACTGAGTCTCTGAGAGATGAGATAATGTGCCGATGGTCACATATTTAAAACGTAAATGAGCCAAGTTTTAGGTTCGTATCAGCTTCTCTCCAAAGTCCAGTTTCTTTCCATGACAATTACTACCTCCCTTGTAAAGCCCCCTCTGATGCCTGGTCTTGGAGAAGCCTGGGCACACACAGAGTGCAGGGGGAAAGAGTGACAATGAAAGGAGGCAGAGGAGGCCTATGCAGTTCCCTGGGCCAGGTCCTGTGAAACTGACCCCCAGGCGGGGGCCCTGTCTTGTGTGCACCCCCTGCCCCCCCGCGTGCAGCCCACCGTGCTACAGGAGGCCTGAACCACAGTGTGAGCCCAACCTTTGCCACGGGTTCCCAAACCTGGAAGCACCACAAAAACATCCTTCCTCAAACGTGGCCAGGCTGGAAGGACTGCTCAGGACCTGGTGCACATGGGACAGCAGTCAGTCCTCCTGAAGTGCCAGCCTGTGCTGTGGCAGCCTTGCAGGACCCACAAGCGGCTCTGCCTCTGGCTGCTTTCCATTTAGAATTCATCACGTCTCCCTTTCCATGAAAGATAAACCAATAGCTGCCCTTGACAGCTGTTTTCTCCAGGGTCATTCCTTCTATCCGCCCAGCTACTCTTTCTTTGGGGATTTGAGTGATGTAATGTTAGCACTATCAATTTCATTCAATCCTTCCAGTGTAGCCTACAGGGACCGGAGAGGCAGCCGAGCCAAGTGCCCTTAACTGTTTGTGCACTGTGCAAGCCAGACAAGGGAAGGGAAATGAGGACAGGGAGAGCAAGGCTGAAAAAAAAAAAAACATCTAGAACAGAATCTATAGAAAAGAAACAAGGAAGAATGAGGATGGCCAACAACTTGGAGTGCTCGGATCCACTTAGACTGGGCCCTGCTCCATTGCTGGGTCCAGTGGGCAGCTCTCCATTGGGATGATCAGCTGTTGCAGCACAAAAAGTCGACATACCCAGAAAATTACTTGCCAGTCAAGGAGGGAATCTATCCCTTTGCACCGCTATGTAACTCAGTTTGGCAGTCTTGTTGGAGCCAAGCCTAGGAGGAAATCCAGACCCATTGGATGGTAGAAAGGATTCTTACACCTTGGGGTATTGGGCAGGGAGTGGGGAAAGTGGACTCAAGTTTTCAGAGGACTGAATGATGTGGTCAGCATGTGACAACAACCCTGAAAGGTAGATACCAGGGTCCCCATTTTTCTAACAAGTAAACTGGGGCTCTTGGAGTTTCAGCAACTTGTCAAAGGCCATGCAACTCAGAAGTAAAGAAGCTACAACTGGTGAGACTAGTGGTTCTCATGGAGGTAATTTTGCCCTTCCATCCGCCCCCTGCCCAGGGGACTTTGGCAATATCTGGAAATGTTTTCCATTGTCACAGCTGCAGTGCTGCTATTTAGTGAGTAGAGTTAAACATCCTGTGACACACAGGACAACACCCCACATGTCAGTGCTGTCATGGTTAGACTGACCCCGTGCCCATGAGGTTGGGAGGGCTGGGAAGGCAAGCTGGGGGATGATAAAATGTACTCGAAATAGCTTCCATGTGATGTTTTATCCATATGATGTTAAAATTCCATATGATGTTTTATCATTTCCCATTGTCATCAGGGCTTTGGTGCCTCCCAAACTTAATGGGACATACAGAGAAGAGAATTTCCAAGGCCCTGTGAGTGGTTCTGATGCGTAATTATAATGGTTTGTCTGGTAGAAACCACGTGGCCAAACCTCCAGGCCCGGCTTTGAGATTTCATCCCAGAGTTCTTCGTATGTCTGAACTAGGTTTTCTAAATGCATAGAAAGATTTTTAAAATGGTGACGGAAAAAGAAAAGTTCTTTTCCCCTGCAAGGAAAATGAAGCATAGTCCAGGTGTGGCAAGGTACATCCAGAATCTTCAGAAAACATCTGTGCCTCACCAGACCCAGAGGCTCCAGTCAGCCCGATGTTCATCCAGGTCCTTGTCCTTGGGCGGAGCATCCCCTGCGCGGGGATTTCCTTCTGTGCTCAGAGGAAACAGCCGACTTAAAGACCGAGCGGGGGTAAAATCACCTGGAACCAGATTACGGTTGGAGATAAGGACTTCTCACAGACGTGTCTGGAAATGAAAGGGCGTATGTGGTAAGATAAACTGAGAAACATATTTCTTCATCACTGATCTGATCTAGAAACTCCTGCCATCCTACCCCAGCTCTTGTAAAAGTCAAAACTCGACCCCTGGCAAGTGCCAGGAGCCCTTCTTGATTTGACTCCATGCAGCCTGGCCCAGACCCCACTGGGCAGAACCCCCCTTCCCTGCCTCTGTGGCTTTGGCCATGCCATGCCTTCTCTCTGGAAGGTTCCTGGGAGCCACCCCGCCCCACTTTCCTGGCACTCTGCATTCCCTCGTCCATATTCCTATAGCACTGAGTTTTTCCTCGGTTGCTGCCCTGGGTTCAGCTCCCTGCCTGAAGCTTACCTTGGTCAGGTGCAGACCTTCCTCTTACACAATTCTGCCCCCAGCGCTAGTGGACAGCAGAGCTTCTTCAGTAAGGTGAGAGAATAAAGAAAAGATAGTCGTGAGTTGTCAGGAGTGGTGAGAGACACCAGATACTAACTAGATGGCACCTTTCAGTTATGTCAAGAGGCTTGGGAGTCAAGTCAGAAAGTTTAGGTTGTCTCACTCCTCAGGGATGCCTGTGATTTAACCTCTCTAGATGTCAGTTTCCTCATCAGTAAAATGGGAGGATGAGAAAAATACCTATCTGGTGAGATTATTATGAGCATCAATGAGATAATGCCAGGCCTAGAGAAAACAATTAAGGAAAAAAAAAAAAGACCTGTTCTTTTGGTAAGGATGACACTGTGGCCAGTAACAGGCATTTTGCTGTAGATGGACAGTAATAATGGGAGAATTAAACTGATACATGCAGAATTGCTTGGCCCCATCTCCTTTGCAACCAATGGGAGAAGGGTCGGAAACAGGGTTTGGCATACTCTCTGTGGCCATATAAGAAAGTGATAATAACTAGCCACATGTGTGGCTCAATGCCTTGTTTTCAATTCATTAGCAAAACACTAGCCACATAGGATGACCAGGTGAACACAAGGCAGAATGCTCCTAGCTCTAGATGCAAGGCAGCGACTTACCATTGACTTTGCATGGCCTGAAGCTCCTCTGTCTAGCTGGGGGGTGCACTCCTTGAGGGGGCAGTTTCCAGAGCCCAGAGCTTGGCTACAATATGCCCTCAGTGACCAGTTGCTGATTGGAGGAAAGAGAAGGTCTCATGCATTTTCTAGCACCTGTAAACCAAATGGCAGCAACAGTTGGAGCAGGCAAGAAGGTCTGTGTGTCATAAAAACTGGTATGATCTTCTGTGATGGGAGAAACAGAACTTTCTGTTCTCAAAAGAGATTGCTCTTTTCTCAGGCGCTGCCAATTTCCCTAGAAGAAAGTGATCTCCCTCTCTAAGGATAAGGGGATGATTTGGGGCAAAACTACAAAATGCTTTTTGGCTAGAGGGTGAGAGCTTTCGCTGAAATCATGCTGCCCCCCCCACTTCTCACTCTCCCTCTCACCTCCTCCCTCTCCTCCCAGCCGCCCCTTCCCACCCACTTGGGATCTGCCCTCATCCCCTTCTCCTGTCTCCACCGCTGGCTTCTCCTTAGCGCTCTGGGGAGGCAGGGAGGTGTAACCAGACCTGGTGCGATGGTATCGGCGGCCCCTGGTGACTGGCACTTTGACTAAAAGCCTCCTGTCCCCCCTGCACTGTGATTGAGTTTCCCTCTCGCTGCCCGGACCTCCCCACCTTTCAGAGCCGGTGTCAGGGCCAGCGGGCCCGGCCCTCACCCACCCGCCTGCAGCACCTGCTAATGTGAGCCAGCCTTCTGGTCTCAACGAAGGATTCCCTCCTGCCCGGGCAGACAGCTCTGTTAGCTCTGGGAAGGCTAGGAGTCATAGCCAGAGGGACCTGTGAGCAGTGGCATGCCCAGGGAGGAGGAGTTTGAAGAAACACTGACAGCCCCACCGATGGAGTACCGACTGCGCCAGAAGGAGACCTTGAGCACCGGGAACGCGAATCAGGCAGGAGGCCCAGAGCCCTGCGGTGCCCGGCCCTTCCCGTGGGTCAGCGGGGAATTCGCAGGCTGCCATGGGGTAGTCCTCGCTCCTCACTCTCTCAAAAACCCGATCTGGAAACCTGGACTTGCCTGGCAATCTCCTTTCCTCACTAACACATTCAGCCGTCACCAAGCCCTGTCAGTTTTACCTCCCGAGCATTAAATAGTTCTTAATTTTATTCCACCCTTGCTAGACCATCTAACTTCTGTTAATGTATCAAAACACAGCATAACTGCCACCTCCTCCAGCTGGCAGATGGAGTCAAATTCAGTCTCCTCTGTGCTCCTCTCCTTGACCATGTTTCTTGTTATAGTTACACACTATAATTTTTTTTTTTAACTATCTGTCTCCCTAATAGACTGGGAACACCTTGCAGGCCCAACCTAAGTCTCATACCCCAGAGCCTAGCCGTCTGCTCAGCACAGATGGGATGATAGAGAAAAATAGGATTCAAAGAAGTTAATAATTATGTATATGATCTCAGTACACATCTCCCCCATGGCTGGCCTGCTGCAAAGCCGCCATGTTCCTGTCCAGTGTGGGCTCAGCACAATTCAGGATTTCCACCCTCCGCTGGAAGGCAGAATTTGGGGTTCTGCTGTCCATGTGATGCAGAAACGTCCCACAGAGCGGCAAATTATAACCTGAGGCTCATATTCCCTAGAAGAAATATAAGGGACTGATAATTCAGTTTTATTCTATAAGTGGTGCTGAAGTTCAGCAGCATTATAGATTAGGAAAGTTTTCATAGGCTATCCTAGAAAGATCCTTGTCTCTAGATTCCAAATTAATAGGATTTTAGATCTCAAAGTGTTCTAAATTTTTCACATGTACTAGCTTGTCTAACCTTCCTAACAATTCTGTGAAGTGGTGAGTCTTATTATCATTCCATTTTAGAGGTGAGGAAGTTTTAGAGGTGAGGAAAAAGATCTGAGAGAAAATCTAATACAATTCCTTTATTTTTGAATGAGAAGATTAGGCCCTCTTTCACAATCTATTTACTCTTAGTTTACACATGATCCCAATCAAAACACACAAAATTCAATAAACTATAAAGAGACAAAAGAGCTGCTATACATCATCTAATAGTCTACTATATCAGAGAAAGAGCCCCCCCCCAAAAAAAAAAGGCTATATAACAACAGACTGAAAACTCACAGCAACCTGGAAGGGCAAAGACCCTAAAACTTTAGTGACTTGAAAGGAATCATGTTTTCAGCACAAGACATTGTTGCCTATTGTAATGACTTCATGTTATCAAGAAAATATTAAATTATGTTATATTCTATTTAAGAAGAAAGGAATTTACAAAACACACTAGAGAAAGATTTCTATGAACAATGTAAAGATCGAAAAGATTCTTTGCTTTTAAAGGAATGTCTTTCTTATATCATCCATCTTTCTCCTGAATATCTCATGTGTTTTCTTCTACATTCTTGAACATGTGGAATAGAGAGTACATCTATTTTTCATGTCCTTGTTTGCTATTTCTACCATCTCTGTCATTTTGGGATGTATTCCCATTCTATGATTTTTGTTTGGATTATGGTCCATATTTTCCTGCTGCTTATATGCCTGGAAATTTTTGATTGAATGTCAGACATTATAAAATTTAAATCGTTGGGTGCTCAATTTTGTTTTTCTTTAAATAGTGTGTGATTTTATTCAGCTGGATCCTTTTCAGGCTTACTTTTAGGCTTTGTTAGAGAAGGTTCAGACTGGCCTTTAGAGCTAATTTAGAACCATTATTAAGGTGATACCTTTTCAGGATCCTATTGGATGTGTCATGTATTATAAGGGCTTTCCACTCTTGTGGAAGCAAATTATCCCAATCCCTTGTTGAGCCCTTGGAATTATTCTGTTGTCTCCTTTACAGTAGTTTTGGCAGTTGTTCCCTGGCTATTGGGTGGTTTATTTTTCAACCATGCATGAACCAACACCTAGCCAAACATTCATGGAGACTCCTCTGCAGATCTCCAGAGCTCTTTCTATAGTCTCTTCTTCTTCCCTGGTTCTCTGTCGTCCATACAAGTCCTCACTTAACATTATTGATAGGTTCTTGGAAACTCCAGCTCTAAGCAAAACAACGTCTGATGAACCAATTTTACCATACGCTAATCGATATAACAAGAAATAAGTTTCTATGGTATATTTATGGTTACAAAATCATACCCAAACTTCTAAATAAGGACCCAAAACACTTCCAGTGTGAAATATTGAAACAAGTGTGAGCTATATATACATTTAAGAAAGATTAATAAAAAACAAGTAAGATAATTATTCCAGTTCAAGGTCTTCGTGGCCTGAGGCTATTCCGGCAGCTCATGGTGCAGGGTGAGCCCCAACCCTGGGGAGGACACCATTCCGTCACAGCGTGCACTCACATGCATACCCACACGCACTCACACTACGACCATGGCCCCAACTGGGAATCCGTTTTTTTTTTTTTTCCTCATCAATGAAATGACGTTATTTGAGGATCTGCTGTATTCTAGCCATTTGGCCTCCTCGATGTCTGATCTCTGTCTCCTCAACTCAGTAAGGGCACTAGCCTTGGTTGGAGTGCCTCCTTCCTGGGTTGTATAGCCTGAAGTGAGCCTGCAGGGTGCAAGTTGGTGCGATCATAGGGCTCACTTTGTTTACGACTCTTGCTCATGCATCACCGTCCTTGTCTGTCTATTGTTCCATTTTTATGTCTAAAAACTATTTTATGTATGCCGCCTGATTTTCTAGTTAAGAAAAAAGTAATAAAAATCTGATCCCTGTCACTCAATTTTGACCGGAAGTAGAAATAAATCACATCACCATTGAGCTTTAAATATGTCAATTATTTTTAATTTCTGGTTTATATGGCTCTATTCAATTTAATTTCTGGTTTATATGGCTCTATTCTGGTTTATATGGCTCTATTCACTATTTCTTGTTCTTCACTCAGTTTCAGGTTGTTCTTTTACATTTTGAAAATTAACAGATTTTTTTTGCATCTGAAAATTTCAATAGCTAAAGTCTTTAAGGCTGTGATGTTTGTCTGTGTCTGCTGGCTTTAACTCAAGGTACCTTGTTATCTGGTGTGTTTTCTGATTTTTTTTTTTTTTTTTACCGTGAGTTGCTCATTTTTATTTGGAACTTTAATTCTTTGAGAATGAAGATAAATTCTTCCAGCTGGAAGTAGTTTTGCTTCTGGTAGACATCTATGGAAGCGTAATCACTGAAACTAAATTCTCAAATTGAGAACTTGTGGACCTTCCAGGTGGCAGGGTTAGGGGCCGTAAACAAGAAAAAGGGCTAGTCTGTGACAACTTCTCAGGGAGTATTCCCATCTCCTCAATTCAATTCCAAGCGTTTAAGTCTGACAACTATCTTTGCAGTCCCCTGCAGGTTTGGGAGTGAGGATATTGGATGAGCTGATTTCTCTCTCGTCCTTTCCCGTCTGAGATTCCTTGTTCTGATCCCAAATACTTTAATTTTCCTTTTGATCTTCATCTGGGCTACCAGACACAGTGAGCATTAGCAAGAAGTTGAAAGAGAAGGACAAACAGGTGGGCGTTTAAAGGAGCGGCTGTGAGTGCCGCCGTCTCCTTTGGAATCTTAACTGTGGTGGTTTGCTCTACGCCACGTCATCCATCTGTCTCCATTCAGATTTGAAGACTTGAGTGGAAATACGGAAGACACATCTGGTCTCCAAACTTCCTTTCGCTTCCCTGATCATTTCTAGACTCCTTGGTGCTGGGAGAAAGTGAGTAAAGGGACGTTAAGAGAAAGTGAGTAAAGGGACGTTAACAACAGAGCAGAGGAATCTTTTCCCAGCTGTGTTGGCGGCGCCCCGTTCCCTTCCATGGACAGCTCCAGGTGAAGTTTAATTGGGATTTTAAAAAACTGCACAACGCAAAACCCAACCTGGTATTTTTCCTGCCGCCCAGTGGATGGGAGGCTGTGAGTAAAGATCAAAGAGCACCAGGGGAGCCTGCTTTGCCGAGACCTGCAGAGAGGGGGCGGGGCAGTGGTCTTGGTTGAGGCTCAGCTCACACTGCAGCTCTGTGTCAGGCCCTGGAACAGGGTCGCCTCTGTTGACCGCCAAAGTCTCCTCTTGTCATGATGTTTTCAAAACATTTACAAACATATTTTTCTGAAGCAAACACATTTTTTAAATAGCCTGGGTTTTCTTCACACCCTGCGGTCAGAGACCACGGGAGTGGAGGCGGCTTCCCCGGGGCACACACACGCCGGGTGACTCGAGGGTCCACCTAGAGGTCGAGGTAAGTTCTGTCGGCCTGGTTTGCTTATCCCAAATCGCACAGGTTAACTTTTAAGTAGACAGACCCCGTAGTTATGAGCCCTCATTTGAAAGGCAACAGCAGACGCTTTAGAAATAGAGCAGTCAGAGCAGTCTCAAGGTACAGATGCCATCCTTAGGGTCACCAACATCAGTCATACCCCAGGGGAAGGCCGTGCCATAAAGGGACTGGGTCGTTGGGTTGGAGTCACACTGCCTCCAGGGAGCCAGTTGTTGGTAACATTCCTGGGCACCATCCTATCAACTGCAAAGCTATAAGGAGACAATTATCAAGTCCCTCTTACACTCACTCCCTTCCAGCTTCTCCCCCGCAGAAACACAAATACAAGCCGTGGATGGAGAAAACGATTTTATTAGGATGCCAGTGCCTCTAATTAGAACAATAAAGGCATACTCTCCGGTTTTTCTACTGAATTATAAAACAGGTAAAGTCGAAAACATAGACACATACTATGACTGACAAGCAATCGGTTGGCAAATTGAGTGACATCTAAGAATTTCTTCCAACTTAAAAGGTTTTAACTTCGTGGAAACAACCAGAGCTGCTATACTTTCTAACCATATGACATGAAGTTGCTTTGCCTTCTTTAAAAAATAAAAATTAAGAAAAAAGCAGGAATAGGCTTTATCCCTCAGCCCCTGCCATGTCCCCTGATTATATAGAGTCAGGGTCCATCCAAACATAGCACTGGACTCTTGACAGCCGCCTCTCTCTGCTGCATAGCTGGCACTCTTGAAGTGGCCACAGTGGTACCCTACCCCATTACCCCTGCTCACCTTGCTACTTTCATTGGAGGACTAAAACTCTCAGTAAGCCAGAGCTCAGGGTGGCTGGGTGGCTGGAGGATGTGACATGGAAATAGACTCCCTAGCAATAAAATTCCACAGGAGGGGCAAAAATACAGAAAACTCACGTGGCAATGTATGATTAAGACTGCAGTTTTTCATTCACCTAATCCCAGAAATAGATATACAAGTCTGAAGGAGCAGCTTACAGCAGCATCAAAGAACTTGCTACACACTAGGAAGTGAGCTGGAGCTGCCTGACTTAACCTAACTTCAGCTATAGAGATTATCAAGGAAAACCTAACACTCTATATGTTGGGAAATGCTGAGCCTAAGCATGTTTCTGGGAGCTGGGGGCAGGGGGAGGGTGTGTGCATGTGTGCGAGCACACACACACACACACACACACAAATATTAGGTCCATGTAAACACACTCTTCTACACAGCTCACAGTGGTTCAGAATCATTTGCACTTGCTTTGGGTATGGTTTGTGTCTCCAATCCTTATAGCACTACTCATCCCTGCATTTAACTGAGTTTAAACTGTAGACTCAAAGTAAACAATGATAGCACAATGATTGTAAAGTCAAAGAATTGGAATTTGCATTGTTTCATGCTATGAACTGAAGATGTGTGTTTCCCCCCAATGTATATGTTGGATCCCTAATCCCCAGTGAGATGGTATTAGGAGGTAGGACCTTTAGGAGTTAATTAAGTCATGAGGGTTGAACTCTATGGATGAGATTAGTGCCTTTGCAAGAAGAGACATGAGAGGGATGTTTCTCTCTACCACATGAGGATACAGGGAGAAGGCGGCTACCTGTGATTCAGGAAATAGATTCTCACCAGACACTGAATCTACTAGTACCTTGATCTTGGGCCTCCTAGCTTCCAGACTGCAAGAAATAAATATTTGTTGTTTAAGCCACCCAGTGTATGGCATTTTTGTTACAGAAGCCCTAGCTGACTAAGATTGAAGTTGATGCTGAGAAGTGGGGTGTGCTGTAACAAACACCTAAAATTGCGGAAGCAGCTTTGAAATGGTGTAATGGGTGGAGTTTGGAAGAGTTTTGAGGTGCATGCTAGAAAGAGCCAATTTGCCATGAAGGGACCACTAAAGGCAATTCTGGTGAGGGCTCAGAAACAAAAGAGGAGAGCTGTAGAGGAAGCTTCCATCTTTTCTGAGAATATATAATCATATACAGAATGTTGTAGAAACAATGACAGTAAAGACCATCCTGATGGGGTCCCAGCTGGAAATGAGGCACATGTTACTGGACAATGAATAAGAAGCCACCCTTGTTATAAAGTGAGAAAGACTTGGCTGAATTGTGTTTTCGTTCTAGAGTGTTTTGGAAAGTAGAACTTGCAAGCAAATAAAGTTAGGTATTTGAGAAGATTTCTAAGCAAAGTGTTAAAGGAGCAGGTTGGTTCCTCCTAACTGCTTATAGGAAAAGGCAAGAACAGAGAAATAAATAAACTGAAGAAGGAACTGTTTAACAAAAAGGAACCAGAAGTTAAAGATTTGGAAAGTTCTCAGCTTGTTCACCCTGCAAAAAGTGAGAGAGCATGTTCATAAGACCAAGGGTGTGGCATACCAACCATTTGATAAGGAGATTAGTGTAGGCATGAACCATGGACCTAATCAGCCACCCCAGAAGGTACACTGCCAGTCTGAACCAAAAGGGACGGAGACAGGGTGGAATAAAGGCTGTCAGACTGTCTCCCCAGATTATACAGGACCATAAAGCTATTTGGCTAGGTACTTGTACTATTCTTCAAGAAAAAAGTATCCCCAAACAGGATTCAAATAAACCGTCCGGGCCATGGCATTGGTTCCTACAGGCCAGACTGCCTCTGACCCGAGGAGTGAGGGCAAGCTACCCAGAGCCTTGTGGGCAGAAGCCATGAGGGCATGACCTCCTGCCCAGCAAAGTCTCAAGGTGTGACTCCCACCCGGCAGAGCCACAGTGTGGATGGGACCCCCCCCAGAGAGCCATGACATGCGTAGTGCCCCTCTGAGTCCCCCCCCCTTGCCACTCCAGTGAATCCAGAAGAACACAGAGCCAAATAGAATTATTATCAAAACTTAAGGTCTCATGCAGCCTGCCTTGCTAGGTTTGAGGCTTGCCTGGGACCCATCACCCTTTCCTTCTTTCCTATTCCTCTCTTTTGGAATGGGAGTGGTCTATCTTATTTGTGAGCCACCATTGTGTTTTGGAAACACACAATTTTTCTGGTTTTACAGGCTCATAGATAGAGTGGAAATTTTGCCTCAGGATGAATCTTACCTCAAGTCTCACTTATATCTGGTTTAGATAACATTGAGAGGAGATTTTGGACTTTAGACACTAGAGTTGATGCTAGAATGGGATGAAATGCATATATTTTGCATGTGAGAAGAACGTGAATTTTGGAAAGTCGAGAAAGAAATGTTATGGACTGAATGTTTCCACCAAAAAATTTTCTTTGGAAAAGCCCTAATCCCCAATGTGACGATAAATGAGAGCCCTTTGGAAGGTAAATAGGTCATGATCATAGATCCCTCATGAATAGGATTAGTGCCCTTATGAGAGACAAGTGAAAAATGATCTCTCCCTCCTCCCTGTGAGAACACAGCAAGAAGGCATCCACCTGCAAACCAGACGAGGGCTCTCACCAGGAACCAAGTAGATCAACACCTTCATCTCATACTGCCCAGCCTCCAGAACTATACGAAATAAATTTCTGTTGTTTAAGCCACCCAGTATATGGTACTTTTGTTTATAGCAGCCCAAGCTGACTAAGACACTTCAATCCTGTTATTCTATCTAACCACTGAGAATTATTAGTGTTTAAAATCTAAAAATGATCATAGTATGATTATTTCAGCTATAGCTATGTTTTTTAAGGGAAAATATATTTACTAAGTTCATTATACAATATGTTACTAAAGTTGAATATTACCTTTAAAATTGAAATTATAGCTTCAAATTGTTGTAAAACTGAAGAATAAATCAAGAATAGGATTGCTGTTTACATAATTACTAACAAAAGTCTCGCTGTGCAGAGAAGGGGGGGTACTAAAAAGTGATCCACTTCAAGGAGTCTATCTACCAAGTGTTCCTCTGCATTTTCTATACCAACTTCCCAGAACTTTCTTTTCCAGATACCCCCCCCCAAGGCATGGCCCACACTTCTTCAACCTCTGACCAAAGACCACCTTATCCAGGAAATCTTCCTGGACTGCCACCCACAGACATCGGTGTCTATCTTCCTGGCTGGATTGATTTTTCTTCATTTTTCCAGTCACCTGTTAATTTGTGTACTGGTTAGTTCATTGCTTACTGTGTTTCTTCTTCCCTGGGACCTACTTGTTTCATGGGAACACAAAGACTTTATTGTTTTTATCACAAGCTGATATTTTTGCACCCAAAACAGTGCCTGGGCTGCTCCCAAGCATGCACTGGGGGGAAAGAAGTGACTAAGTAATTTCCGTAACAATTACCGCATGATTGACATTGACTTGGAATGCCACCTTTATTAGGTAAAAATCACTTCCTCGATACATTCAAAGATGGATGGAAGCTTACATCTGTCGCCTACAGGGTGGCCATATTGGTGGCGGGAAAGGAGAGAGAGGAAGAATCTCAGCAAACAGGAAGACCATTCGCATCAGCTAGGGGTGCAGTTGGAGTGGCTGCATTTGCTCTCCCAGCTCCGCTGAAGTTGAGGCGCTTCACAGATCCACTCTTGCCTTTTTCTTCATACCTTTAAAGAAAATCAAGAACACCAACTAGTAAGCATGTGTAAACTTCTGTCAGACCTCAGGGTTCAGCTATAAAAAGCATTAAATACAAAAAGGAAGCTTTCTAAGCAGCTGGACACAGATGGTGGGACATGAAACAATGGGGAATGTGTGGGCAGGAAGAGCCATGTCCCCCTGCTGGCCACACCCTCACTCCGGCCTTTGCACCATGGTGGCAGCTAATGACAACACTTACTTCGCTTTGGTCTGAATAGCAATGCATCTGTGTTATTTAAAGTTCTAAATAGAAACACCCACTCTTCTAAAAGCATGAAAGACAAAAACAAACCTATATTTGGGTTTTCTGTTCTTTGTCATTCATCTATTTGGCCACTGGCTTCATGCTGTTTAGATGATTTCAGATTCGAAATATGCTTTAAAATCCAACAGCGCAAGCTTTTGCTCTCTTATTTTATTTCTTGTTCTTTTTCTCTGAACTAGTTTCATTTGTTCTTCAAAAATAAATTCTTCCAAATACATAGTAGAAATACCAATTCTAAGCTCAAAAAAAAAAAAAAAATCCCACTGCAACTTTGTTCGGAAATTGTGTGAAATGCATCGGTCTGTTTGGGTAGAACTGACCACTTCACAACGTGGGGTCTTTCTTCCACTGGATGAGAGGGGTCTCTGCATCACCGCTCTCCATGAGTGGCACTTCCCGCTGAGTCCAGAGCCTCGTCATGATCTGAGGCTGTTAGTGGAAAAAGACAGATGTGAAAAACAGAAGACAGCCCCTTGTGTCTGGGCCCACCGCCATCCCTGCGCCTGCTCCCTGACAAGCCCACCTCTGTGCCAGGTGGAGCCAAGTCATACCTGAACGTCCTCGTGTCTGCCATTGCCAGTGTCAGTCATTTCAGTTAACACTGAATAGTGTCTTCCTTCCCCATGACCTTAGGAATCAACCCTCAGAGGCCCCTCAGCTTCTCTTGTCTCTTTCCCATCCAGGACCATTCATTTCTCTTGCCTATTCTACACTTTCCTTACCCAAGAGCCTTCCTTTTCCTTCTCCTCGTCACCTACACGTGGGGCATTCACAAGAACTAATTTTACAGTTTCAAAAGTCAAAGGCTCACTTAGCTTGAGAAAGTGCTTTCCCTGGACCCAGTTCAAAATGCCCTCCAACATGGGGCTCAGATTCAGCAGGAAAATAGCCCCGAGCAGGCCACAGGAAACATAAACCCCACAGCATCTCAAGATCGAGCCCTTCTCCTTCCCATGTTCCCCTGCCGGATGAAATAGATCCCCTTTCTTCCCTCCTCCTTCCCTTCAAGAGGGGTCCTTCTCTCACCCTGTCACTGAAGGCTGCCTGAGAGCCTCTTCAGTGCTTCGGTCTTTTGAGATGAAAGTGTAGCTGAGAAATGTCTTTATCAGAAAGTGACCTTGCTAGATCCAGCTCTGGGCAACTTCTTCACCAATGGGTGATGTTTCTTTCTCCCTAAACTTTCTCAGAATCACCAGTACAAGAGCGCTCAACCAGAGAACCCAATTCGGAAGCTGTGGGCACGGCCAGGTGGTCACCAGGGTTTGCAGTTTCCCTGTGATGTAATCAGCAGCTTGGCACAGTCCATGATTGTCACATCAAACAGCCAAGGCAGAGGGATTGCCTAGCCGTGCTTCCCCTGGATGCCTCCCATCTTTGGAGTGTCCCCCTCAGTTCATCAGACATTTGCGGATGACCTGCTGGTTGAAAGTTCCATTTCTGAGCACCCAGCAAAAAGCATGTCTGCCTTTCTAGCTCTGAAACTCAAAGGGGGATTGGTGAAGATAAGTAACATCAAATATGACCTTCCCTGAGGGCAGTTAGAGAAAGAGTGATGTCTACTGAAGACTTAAATGTAGGCCAACTGCCCACACTAAAATCTTCTTCGCTTTTCAGCTTTACAAGAACTAGCAACCTCCTCCTCCTCTTCCAAGACTCAGCTCAGCTGCCTCCTGCCCAGAGAATCATCTTTGTATCCCTTCCACACCCTCATCTCCTTGCACTGCTATTCTCAACTCTAAGGTCATTTCTTCTCAACATGAACGTCAACCACTCTGTTACAGACACATTATGCACATGAGACAAATTTGGATCCTTTAAATCCAAATTTGGATCCTTTATATCCAAATTTAAAGGATAGAAAAAAAATGAGAGAAAACTATCAGTGAGTTCTTCCCTCATTGGGAAGTTCTCATTAGGACTTTTGGTTTACCCATCCATCTATGGTTAACAAAATCCTTCCATGTCATTTCATTTTGCCCTCACACCAACTCTGTGTGGTCACAGAGGTAGGTAGGTAAGATGATCCTCATTTTACAAATGTAGAAACCAACATTCACAGAGCCTAATATCACCTTATGGAGAAAGGAAACCATTTTCTACCCAGAATGGCCTCCGTACCTCCCGAACACCTCCACCCCTGCTTTTGGGTGGCCAACACTCAGCTCACATTCCCTCATCAGATAAGATTTCCATGACCTAAAGTACAAAACCCTATCCTGTTATCCTATTGTTTTGTCTCCTTCATAGCATTAATCATAATTTGTAATCATTTTGTAACTCTTTTTTTTTTTTTGTCCATCTCTCCAACAGAATCATCATCTCCATTCATGCAGGCACCATCTCTATCTGTTGGCCATTGAATTCCCAGCCCCTAACACTGATGACGATAACAGCTGTGGTCTTACAACCCCTCATTCTGTATCCCTTCCACTGTAATAAGCGTTCTTAGAAAACAATTTCTCCAAACTGTCCTACTATGTAATCCTAAAACTGAACCTCATCATCATTATTGTTCAAGCTTTAACTTGAAATGTGTACTTTCTGAGCAGCACGGGGTCACCTGGGAGATGTGGTTTGTACCTACAAAGTCCAAGCATGTCATGTAAATGGGCAGTGCCTGGTGAAACCAGAAGCATTTGTGATGTGTCTGGCTGATCTAACTATTCTATACACAAATTAACTCATGGAACCTTCACAACAGCTCTGTGAGGCAGGGACGACTCTATTGTCTGCATTTGATACATGGAGACATTGAGGCCTGGAGGCACCGTGCTGCCATCCTTGGGGGAACTTCTCCAAAATTGTTCCTTCAACTTTGGCCTCCTCTGGGGCCAAGGATCAGCCTGCTGTTTCCCCCAGAAAACCCATGTCTTTGTCCCAACACATATCTTGCCTTGGAGGGCTTGAGGAAGCCATACTCCAAAGGGAGTCTGAGAGTGTGATTGCCCTCTGCCAGGACCCCCACCTCGTCCTACCCCTGCCTCCTCATGTGGCCATGGCTTGAGCCTGCCCCTGTGCGGGACTGCTGCCCTGCCTCTGGGTGGTGGGGCTTTGCCACGAGGGACCCAGCTGGGGATGGTCTGGGGTGACCAGATCCAGTGCTTAGAGGGGGTCTGCCTGCCCTGGGTTGCAGCGTGCTGGCCCCCGGGGGTGGGGGATGGGGGTCTGACCGGCTGCCCCTATCCAATGAGGTCATCTGCACTCTCCGCCCCCACTGACACTTCCCAGCTTCTCTCAGCCTGTGTCTCCACAGCCCCTTTTCTCTGGACCCGTGGGATGCTTTGAGCAGCTCTAAAAAGACTGGGTGGGAGAGTTTCTGAGTTTCTCCAGGGCCCTCCTGCCTTTGGAACGGCAGCGCCGCAGCCCTCACCTGTTCCTGCGCTGGGCCTTCACTCGTCTCCCTTATTCCATCCTCACTGCCCCTCTGACTTTTCTCTTACCTTTTACAGAGAAAACTCTTTGTGCTTTTTGCTTCTCTAAGAAACATGACTATGCCGGGAAAACAAAGAGTGTCTTCCAATCTCAAGACTCAATGGGCCATGCACACCAGTGCATCCTGGAGGCAAGCTGTCCCAGCTGGCCCTGCCCTCCCTCTGACCACCCCTGCCTTTCCCCCTCGCTGCCATCCCTCTTGAATTTCACACATTCTCCTCCCCCTCTTTCCTCTTTCAAATCAGGCTTCTCAGTCCCCACAACATCTCCAAAGAGCCCTGCCATCTCCTGTCCCCTGGGCTCCCTTGTGCCCTACCATTTAGGATGTCCCTGACCCACAGCCCCGCAGTCCTGCAGACAGAGAATGCTGCCACAGCCTCAAACTCCCCGGGCTTCTCCAGGCCTGCCCCCGACCCTCAGACGCTCCTCTCACTGCCACCAGCTCTTTGCTGGCCCCCCGCCCTGTGCCCTTCCCAGAGGACATCGATAGTGGTCCTCCCTCCTCCTCTCCCTGCAGCTCACGTTCAGGATGGAGGCCACGTGCTCGGGATGAAACCATCTCCCAAGGGCAAAGCACTGTGGAGAGAGGCAAAGATACTTTCTCAAGGCTATCATGACAACACACTCTTCTGGTGTCCCTCCTACTTCTATGGCCATTCCTTCTCAGCCTTCTGTGGAGCTCCACCCTCCTCTACTCCCCCCCAAGGACTAAGGCACCCACTTTTTTCTAGTCTTTCTCCCTGGCAAGCTCACCCATGCTTATGGAGGAACTATATAGAAGCAAATGATTCACCGAGTTTTATCTACAGGTCGGATTGCTCCGGTGGACTCCATACCTAAATATCCCCTCTTGTCACCACAACCCAACGTGCGCCCAAACTATTAATAAACTTAGCGATCATCCCCTCCAGTGTCTGCCTTCCCAGTGAGCATATCCCTGACCCCCACGGCCCTTCAGTTTTTCTCAACCAGAGTTACATTTCAAATATTTCTTCCCCAGAGCTCTCCATTACTCTGTGAGCCTCCGGACCAACCTACACTCTTGCTTTCTTCTAACTTGTGCTCCAGACAGGAGTTAGTGTCATCTCTTAAAAAACAAAACAAAACAAAAAAACCCCAAATCTGAGCATATATCTCCTCTCCTTAAAACCCTTCAAAGGCTCCCCAAGGCTTCTGGGACAAAGGCTAAAATCCTGAACCTGGTCTTCAGGTTCTCATAGCATCTTGGCTTCCTTTCCTGGGCTCAGCTGGCACCCTTACCTCACACATATCATATCAGCCAGGTGTCCCCCAAAACCTGCTCCCTTCACACAGCCAGTCAACCAGACCAGGAGCTCTCTGATACACTGCCTGTATCCCCAGGACCTAGCTAATGCCTGGCATACGGATGTTCAATAGCTACTAAGTGAATAACGAATAATGAATGGGTAAATGAATGAATGAGAAAAGAAAAAACTATGCCCTGTCCCAGGAATACCTAGTGTGGCCAGTGGAAGCTGCGGAGTCAAGGCCAGCTCTGATTAGATGGGCCTCCAGCTCCCAGGTACTGACTGCCCATCTGAGCTTTTTAAAGATACACTCAAATAAGAGAGGGAGACCCAATTTTCCCAGTAGAGACAGAGAGCTGGCGAGGTCTGAGGCACTGTTGGGGGTGCAAGTTCATATTTCCTAGAGTTAAACATGTTTGCAACCCCAGGGGAAGCCACCAGAAGCGACACCTTTGCACTGTCTCTTGGAGACAACAGCATGGCCTTCCCTCCTCCCTCAAGGCCTGGGCCCAGCCCAGAGAGAGGAGGAGCAGAAGCATTTGCAGCCTTGGATTGGGAGCTGCTTTGGGGCAGTTGCAACAGGAGGCTCCTGAGGCCTGAGGCCAGGAGTTGCATAGGAGGAGGTAGCAGGAATTTCTCTGGCCCCCAGCTTCCCTCAGCTGGGCCTGCCCAAGCATCCACAAGAGGTGTCTGCTCAGCTAAGGCAGGGAGAGTCTGGTGAAATTGCGAAGCCGTGGCAAAGGGGTCACGTGTGTGGCCATGACAGTCTTGAAAACTTGGCTAAGAGTTAGGTTAGAAGATCGAAGTGCCATGTACTGCTGTGTGGTCACCGGGTGCTAAAGGCTAAACCCACTCAGAAGGGGAAGGCTGGACTCAGAGCCAGGGCACCAACCGCTAAGAATTTTGGGGGTGGAACATTCTGATGGCAGTTGAAGGCTACAGTTGAGGCAGGGCAGAATTGTCCGGAGCAGGGCAGAATTCACCGTCCAGAGAAGGGCACACACCCCCTAAAGAGGAGCTCAGAGAAGGCAACGCCACACCAAGCCCTGCAGCCAGGAAAGGCAGACGGGGCTGGACGGGCTGATGCGGAAATAGGAGAGCAGGGGTGTGGGGGGTAGAGGCCTGAGAAGATATGAAAGAAGAGATGAGGGTCCAGGTCACCCGAGGGGCTGAGGACCAAAAGGGAACAATGGGCCAGAAGGCAAACTGGCCACTCTGTGGTTCTGCTGGGTGCCTGGCCTAGAGAGGAGCCCCCCACCCCACCACTGAGCTACTGGGCTGTGTGCTCAGTGGTCGGGGCTCAGGGCCGCCTCGGTCTTCAGAGACGAGCTGGTTCTGCGGGGAGGGTGTTCACTGGGAGTGAGGACACATCAAGTCCCAGCGCATCCTCTCTACAGGCACAAGTGAGCCACGAGTTTCACACACTAAACCCGCTCATTCGTTCATTCAACAAATACTTATTGAGCATTTGTGGGCTGCGCACTAGGAATATAATAGCAGCAGCAGCAGGACAGCCCCTGCCTGCTGGAGACTGCAAGGGATAGGTCATTTGAAGAGGAAGCTCATGCACTGTGAGAGCTCAGAGCCCTGATCTATTCTAGGGCTTCTCTGTGAACAATGCAGCTGACATCTGAAAGATGAGTAGGAATTACCTGGTTGAAATGGCAAAGCCTCAGGGAGAGCAGGCTGGGCGCACGCAGGTCTCGGCCACGTCCCTCTCCATAGCTGTCTTCTCTGAATCTCTTTCCTGCTCCGCCCCGCCCACCTCTCCTCTCCCCATCGCTTACCAGATTGAGAGGAGGAAGGCGGCTGGGCCCAGGGTGCCCGTGGCAGCTCTCATGGGAAGGAAGCGGGCAGGGGCCAGCCAGCATGTGGGGGAGGAAGGGAAGGTCAGGTCCTGCTGCCAGGTGGGGGCTGGTGTTGTCCTCGTCCCCAGGGGAAGGGCTGGGTAGGCACCGCAGCCTGCGCAGACCTGGGCACCAGCCCTTGCCCACATTCCCACTGCCGGCCAGAGGACCCCAGGAGACTCACTGCCCCAAGAGCCCCCCAGTGCTGGGCGGGAGACCATTCCCAGTGGCATCACAGCAGCACTGCCTGCCAGGGGGCAGCCGCTCCTTCTGAAGGGCTGGCTGTTCTTGGCATTCCTCTTTTGTCCCTCTCTTCTTTCAAAGAAAGAATGTATGTGTCTCCAACCCAGGGCTCAAGAAGCATTTTCATTATGAAGTGTCACCTGTTTGGAGTAATTTATCTAAATATCATATTCTTTTAAATGTCAAATTGAAAGAACCCCCCCCCCAGACATTCCAGAAAAATCTTCCAAATCCCTCACACCATCAACCACAAACAACCAAGCGCCATGCCTGGTGGTGGGGATTCACAGAAGGGCCCCTAGAGAACTCAAACTGCTCATCAAACCAGCAGGGAAACTCTGGAATTAGTAAAGGGTGAGGGTGGGGCTGTATTCTTAAGTTCACCAGCAACTGTTTAAAAACATGAACTGGGCTTAGTTTAGCAAACCAAGCACTTGTTTTCCAAGTATATGCTATGGACTAAGTACCATTTTAAATTTTGAAAAGTATGAGAACCTTCACCTGGGTGTGTGTGTAGGGGTGTGTGTGTACAAAGAATCATAATTGTACGGTTGAATACGTGCATATTTTCACCTGCCCCCCAGAAATGTGCTGGCAGAGGGAGGGAGTCAAGTGAGCTGTCCTCTACTTGTTTCAGTGTTTTCATCTCAGGGTTTATTGATTTGCCTTAAGGGTAATGGGAATAAAAGGAAACTTTTCCATCCTATGCTCCAATATTCCGGGCGCGTAAACAAAAGCTGCATCCACCCCTCCCAGGGCCGATCCATTGGCATGATTTGTCATGGCCCCTCCCAGAATGGCCGGTGGGAAGTGACCCCTCCCCTCTCTGGCTAGTCATGGCCCTTTGCTCTCCTTCTGGGCCCATAGTGGCTCTTTGTACACCCAGCTCTGTGATGGGCTCTAGGTCCAGGATATCCTGGGAGCCAGGCCATTGCTGGGGCTGCTACTTGGCAATTGCAGGTGGGGCAGGAACAGGATGGGGGAGGTGGAGTCAGGACGAAGTGACTCTGGAAGGAGGTATTCTTTTTGAAGGAGTCCAACTCACCCCGAAGGTGACGCTTGCACCCAACCCCTACTCCTCTGTTCATAACCTGCTCTTTCCAGAGCAAAATACCATGGGTGAGGGGCCCTATGTATCTTTTCCTATGAACTTGACTTTGATGATGAGTGTTGGTCCTTTATTCATGTTGGGGACCGCCCCCAACATCTCATCATAAAACACTTGAAAGCAAAAGCTTTCTTTCTGCCCACTGGGAAGGGAGGATTCTACAAAAGCACTTCCAAGAAAACAGTAAGGAGGCCCCAAAGCCTGTTGCTCCTCTGGGTGGGTAATGGTGCCAAGCTCTGGGCCGCCCATCCTGATCCCCGTGGAGGAGCACAGCTCCCAGCCTCCACGTCCTGAGTCATTGAGAGCCGGGCTCCTCCTACCGTGGCACTTCTAGGAGGGAACTCACGCTGCTTTCTCCCAAGAGCTCTGCTACAAGTCTCCAAGGATTGTTTTTATAGTCGGATAAGCCAAAGGAAGGAATGAGCTTATCCCCTAATGACAAGATGACAGATCCTTGAAGATCCCAGTTCTCTTACTAATCCTCTGAACTAAGGGGGGTGGTGATGAAGCCATAGATGTACCAAAAAGAGTTCGAGCAAAAAGGAACTCTGCACCCTGGGTCTTTCTCTGCACAGTATGTAGGTCTCAGGGTGTAAATACTCCAGGTTGTGTTGGAAGTTTTATTTTTGTCAGAATATCTGAGGGAAAAAATAAAAATCACAGAAACAATGAAGATTAGAGGATTTGAGGGACTTGGTTTCTGGGGTCCCCACATTCCGGCACCCAGACTGGGGAGATTGCTTCCCTGTGGGGGCTCAGCCTGGCCTCCTTCCACAGGGGGTCCTCAGAGATGCTACTGTGGAGGCTTGCCAATGGCATGCCCGGTGGTCAGGGCCGAATGCTGTTCTTCACGTTTGAACTTTATATTTTAAAATGTGTAGTCTCTGACTCAAGAAATCAGACCTTCAAACCTAACTCCTGTGGAATTTTCAAAGCGTTTTCATTCCACCAACATTTATTGGGTACTAACTATGGGCCAGGCAGAGGGATGAGAAGTGCATCTGAAAACAGTCCTTGTCCCCAAGGAGTTCTCAGTCTCATTGTGAAGAGGCAGGCACAGAAAATCTTATCTATCTGGTAGGGACCAATGCAAGCCAGGTAGCAACACCTCTCCTAGAATTAGCAGGTAGCTTAAAGAAAGTGCCATGCAGGAAGGCACAGAGTGAGGCATTGGAATAACCATTCCTTTCATAAATCTCTTTGCCATTTGTTATGACCCACACAAATGTATGTGCTCAAGTCTCTAGGTTTTGGCTGATTAGAATTATCTTCAGTAAAGAGATGGAGAATTTCTATTTAATGAGTGCAATGTACATTATTCGGGTGTTGGAGACCCTCAAAAGCCCTGACTTCATCACCACACAATCTGCGCATGTAGCAAAATCACTTGTTACCCCATAAATTTATACACATTTTAAAAAGAGACAAGGAATTTAGATTTAATAGTAAAAGACATTTGAAGAGCTTGCCTCAGTTTCCTTTTCCTTTTCCAAAAGTACAAAACAAACAGCATAAAATCAGCAATTATCCTTTTGCACAAAGGATTGGGAGAGAATGAAGTCTGCTTTACACAGGTTTTACTGGAACCAGTTCACTAAAGCACTGTCAACCACAGAGCCCTGTTGGCATAGGGACAAGACTGTTTATGCAGAAACTTAGAAAGAATGGATTCCTAGCTCCAAAAATAGAGTTTAGGAAGTAAATTTGTATGGAACCAGGGAAAACTTGACCTCTTTTGAAAAGACAAAGGCTTTAATTGCTTCGTTTGGATGGAAGCCTTAAAATGCCCAATCCAAATTATTCTGATATTTGAGTCATGCTTCCTACCCCCCGTTCAAGGTTGTATGTCAGAGTGGGCATCACAGACCCTTAAGAGTAAGACATGCTGTTGATGGATATTTTTTTTTTTTCGTTTGTGAGGGTCTTGCGGGAGGGGGCTGTTTTCTAAATTTAGACCCACACAATGGAGATGATAGTCCCACCTGACCGTATATCAGAATCCTGAAGCTAGAACTGGAAAGTTCAAAGACCTGGCCCCCCCTGCACACTTCCTCTTATATCAGAGTCCCAGCTGTCCCCCCCCCACCTCGGGATTTCCCTCAGGTCTGGCCCCTCTAAGCCTCCAAGAAGCTTCAGGCTTCTGCCCTCCTCACCAGGACAGGGACATTGGTCCCCCATCCTTTCCCACGAGTCACTGCTTGGGCCTGCCCAGCAGCCAGGGGGCAGTAGGCAGTTCAAACACGGGGCTGCCTTCCTCTACCCTCCCCCTCAGTCCAATTTCTTGACGGCCAGAGAGCTGGCACCCTGCTGCCTCTGTGGCCAGCTCAGCCTCTTCCCTCTCCCTCTCCTACAGCCTGGATGCCATGGGGACCCATCTCCCTTCCTCTCCCCACACACAGCCATCAGTCACAACGAGGCTGCCACCTGGGAGGCCTTTGGGGCCACCCCTGAGCACAGGGCAGAGCCACATGAGCTGGTCTTACGATAAACGTAGTGCACCTGCCTCCAGAAGCAATCTCCCTCCCCAGATTCATTTCCAAATGACTCAAAGCAGCCCCCACGGGAGCCTCAGTCCTATGGCGGTCTACGTTGCCAGATCTGCAATTAGTCCCTATTCTGGCAGCCCTCTCTGCCTGGCCAAACCAGGTC